AGCAATTAAAAGACAGGGAAGAACTTTAAATTAATATTACTTCCCTAAGAAAACGATGCTAACCTGAAAAGGCTAGATACTAAATTTCCAACTACATAACAGAACAGAAAAGGCAAAGCTACTGAGACACTAAAAAGATCAATGGTCCTAGGGATTAGGAGGGAGGGATGACTAGGTAGAGGAGAGAGAATTTTTAGGGTAGTGAAACTATTATGTACAATACTATAGAGGCAGATACATGCCCTCATTACAGATTTGTCAAAATGCACAGAATTTACACTCCAAGAGTAAACTCTAATGTGAACTTACAGACTTAGGGTGATAATGATGTGTCAGTGTAGATATGACAACTCTTGAAAGAAAAGAGAGAAGCGAGTTGAGGATGGAGCAAAGCGAAAGAAAGGAAAGAAAACAATGCTTAAAGGTAAGCAAACCTAAGAAACAATAACAAAACAACAACAAACTGGGGCATCCTGTGATATCAGAGAATAAGGAAGTATTGACAGGATAGACGAATGCCAAAGGGACACAAGAGTCAATCTGCATGAGTTTTCAATAATTAAAAGTGAAAATGGCTTAAGCAACAAAGTAAATAACACAGTACTGAATGATAACCCAACTATAAAATAAATATACATGAGTCCATTCTGATGTAAATGAATTTAATAAACAAAAGTGAGGAGATAACCAGTCTTCCATACAGAATTTCAAATATTCCCCCTCTACAAATTGGTAGTTAATTCCATCTCCCACCCTCCAAATTCCCATCCCCCGTGAGAGGAGACAAGACCTAGAGACTTATTTCCACAGAATAAAGTATTTTCAGGGGAGAAACAAAACAAACACTACTGCAAGTAAGTAAGGTATCACCATATATATATCACATATTCCTTGAGATGATGAGAAGAACACTTTGTCTTTGTGGCATTCTTTCCAAAAACCAAAATAACTTCAGTCTAATCATGAGAAAAATAAAGAAACCCAAATTAGGGTACATTCAACAGGTCATAAAGAAGAAGATTGAGAAACTGTCACAGATTGGAAGAGACTTGGGCAACAAGAGAGCTAAGCTTTATGTGGTTCCCTGAACTGAATCCTGGAAAAAGAAAGACGATATTAATAGAAAGACTGGTGAAATCTAAATAGAGTCTGGCATTTAGTTACTAGTTACTAGTAATGTACTAATAATGGGTTCTCAGTTTTGACAGATGCATCATGGTAATGGGGGAAAGTGGGTAGGGGGTACTATATAAAATGTGTACTACCTCTGCAACTTCTGAATGTTATCTAAAATTATTCTGAAACAGAATGCTTATTTTAAAAACTTTTTAAAAATTAACTTCAAAATGGAGCCTTAAATCCACCAAACTAACATAGATGACCTTTTGGAAAATGCTAACCTTCTAAATTTAACTACCATTTATACCATTTTAAAAGTCTTTTAAAATAAAATTAAACAAAAAATAAAGCTGAGGGGAAAAGGACCAACAATCTCTTACTACATATTAAATCATGCATTATTCAGAAACATGATATACTTTATATTAATAGTCCCAGAACTATGTTTATTAAACTAGGAACATATGACTGACATTATCAGAAAAACCTCATAACACATTATAAAAATAAGACCTAATAATTCACCAGTTTAATACTCTGTTAAGTTTCACTGTACCCTCTTTTGTAGTTCAGGTCACTTTGCTGGGAAAGAGGCATGTTTAATATATTCATAGTATCACACTACAGAAATAAGTATTTGGTAAATTTACATCTTCCCCTGTTATGATACTTTTGGTTATCAACAGGGTACCTTATAAAGAAATGAATACTGAAAGGTGGTTTAAAAAAGTTATCCAAACACTGGACATAAAGCAAAAAGGTGGACAACTTTTAAAAAGTGATTTCTGGGACTGGAGTTGTGGCTCAGCGGTATAGTGCTCTCCTGGCATATGCGAGGCGCTGAGTTCGATCCCCAGTACCACATAAAAATAAATAAACAAAATAAAGGTATAAAAAGTGACGTCTTTCAAATTAAAGAGCTTTTGCACAGAAAAGGAAGCAAATAGGAATGTGAAGAGAGAACCTACAGAAAGGGAGAAAACCTTTGCTAATTACTGTTCTTACAGAGGATTAATATCTAGAATATATAAGGAACTCAAAAAACTTTACACCAAAAAATTAAATAACACAATTAATAAATGAGTAAGTGAATTAAACAGACACCTCTGCAAAGATACAAATGACCACAAATATATGAAAAAATGTTCAATATCATTAGTAATTAGGGAAATGCAAATCAAAACTACATTGAGCTGGACAAAGTGGCACACGCTTATAATTCCAGCAGCTCTAGAGACTAAGTCAGGAGGATCTAGAGTTCAAAGTCAGCCTCAGCAATAGCAAAGTGCTAAGCAACTCAGTGAGACCCTGTCTCTAAATAAAATACAAAATAGAGCTGGAGATATAGTTCAGTGGTCTAGTGGCCCTGAGCTCAATCCCCAGTGCTAAAAAAAAAAACTTACACTGAGATTTTATCTCACACCAATCAGAATGGCAGTAATCAAGAATACAAATAATGATGAATGCTGGAGAGGATGTGGAAAAAAAGAACATTCTTACACTGTTGGTTAGATTGTAAATTAATACAAGTGCTATGAAAATCAGTATGGAGGTTCCTCAAAAGATTAGGCATGGAACCACCATATGAACCAGCTATATCACTCTTTGATATTTAATCTGAAGAATTAAAGTCAGTGATACAGTGATACATGCATACCCATGTTTACAGCAGCACAATTTAGAACAGCCAAACTAAGCAACCAGCCTAGATGTCTATCAACTAATAAATGAATAAAGAAAATGTGGTGAATATATATACACAATGGAATTTTATTCAGTCCTAAAGAAAAATGAAATTGTTATTTGTAAGAAAATGGATGGAATTAAAAACCATTATGTTAAGCAAAATAAATTAAACTCAGAAGGTTAAAGGTTGTATGTTTTTTCTCATCTGCAGAAGCTAGAGAGAAAAAGGTGAAGAAAGGTAGGGGTGGATCTCATGAAAATCCAAGGGATCAGAAGAGGAAAGGGAGCTGGGGAAGGAGGTATGGAGGGAGAGGGTAAGTACTGGGGGTGATACTGGTCAAATTATATTGTTATACTGTGTATTGTGTGCACAAAGGAATATGTAACAACAAATCCCATTGTTAATTGATACAACTAATGCACCAATTAAAAAATGTGGAGGGAAAACAACGATGTCCTTTCAATATGATGTGGGGATTCACACCCATTCAAAGGTTATTTAATTACTTAGGGGAATGTACACGCTCTATTCTTCTATTTACTACTAATTAAATATCCTAGATTAAGTGAAGTTACTTGTTAACTTAAAGTTTTATCCTTTAGAGTTGAAAGCCATTTCTTTCAGGGAGAAGAGATGATCCCTATGGCTAGGATCTACTGGTCTGTAGGACATCAACCAGTTTGTAACTAATGTAGAAATCTTATTCCACCAGATGTTAAATTGCCTATGAATATGGAGCTCCTTAGGTGCTATTTGAAACAGCCTACTTCATTGTTCCCTAAGCAATTAACTAATTAAATAAAGTCTTTGATACATGTTCACTTATATTTGTATCAGTGATGGTTTTAATTTTTAAAAATTATACTTTGACAGGCATAAGAAGCTTTCTAAGATATGACTGACATCACCTTACCGACGACTATCAGCTAGACCTGCAAATCCTAGTCTTGCAGAGCTATTATGATAACAATTTTTCTGGATAGTAATCTGGTAAAACTACATGGAATTATCAAATAACTTGTCTCAAAGATAAAGTAAAAAACAATTTAAGTATGTTATTTTCAAGATCATCTTTGTTCTACCCTTGACTTTCCATCCTGCCCTAAAGTATGTATAGATATAAACATGCAGTCTATTTTATTACATTTCCCTTAAGTTTTCCCACTTGTGCATTTTTAAACAATGGGGAACACAAAGATTCTTTTCTTTTCACTCAAGCTATTTTCTGAAAAGACTGTTAAGGCCCAATCCCTATGTCAGAAAACAAAGATCATATAGGAAAAGCAATACTTATTGGTCAACATTAAGAAACTACTTACAACTGGGTATGGTAGCTAAATGCCTGTAATCCCAGCTACTCAAGAGGCTGAAGCTGGAGGATCCCAAGTTCAAGGGCAGCCTCAGTCACTTAGTGAGGCTATAAGCAACTTGAGGAGACCCTGTCTCAAAATAAAATATTTTAAAAGGCTGGGGATATAGTTCAGTGGTAAAGTGCCCATGAGTTCAATTTCAATACCAACAAAACAAAATAACCTCCCTCCAAAAAAGGAAAGAAATAAACTATCTACAGAATCACAGAACATAAGATTTAGACAGGATTTTAAAGATCTTCTTGCTTAATCCCTTGTTTTAAGAAAAGGAAGTTGAGCTCAAAGAAATACAATGATTTTCTAGAGGGCTGACAGTGACTAAAATTAATTTTTTTGATCTTATTTTAAAGACTTGTTAATGGGTCTCACAATGGATCCATGGGCAAATTTTCTTTATTTAAACCACTTGTTGAAAAAAAAATGCTTCCTTCTATCTGTTTCAGGTACCTTTCTTTTTCTAAGTCAAACAGGTTAATACCTGATTCAGGTGTGAATTATGAACTGTTCTTATTTCCATACATATTATTAATTTTACTTAAAGTCTGATTACATGGATTAGTAAAAAGAAAAAAATCCCAAACTCACATTTTCGGTGTTCCATATTTTACTAAAAACAAAAGTCTAGACTAATGTGGATTTTTTTTTTTTAAACCAAGAAACCTGGATTTTGTCAAACTGTCAATCTAAATATACTTTTGGTAAATTCAAGTAGACTATAAAGGCTAATTTCAATTTTTAGGTATGAGCACTGGGAAGGGAAGCACTATTTTCCCATCACCCAAACCACAATCAGCACAAGGAAAATAGAAAATAAAATTCTGTACCCTGACATCACTTCTAGATGAAGCTGTCCTGATACAGTTAAGAAAGCAGGAACATTGAAGAAATTCTCCTCAGGTAACTTTATTTTGCTTGAAGGCTGCAAAGGAAAAACATAAGCCACAGAAAGCTATTACATATTTTGCTTTACTTTTCACATTTACACACATGCCAGAACTAAAAATCAGTGCAATTCAACCTATGCAAGGACTGATCATTCTCAAGAAAATAAAGGTGGTTCTCAGCACATATCTAAAAGAGAAAATGCCTATTTAGAAAATACAAAAGTCATGTAAATTTTGCCCCATATTTTTAAAACACAAAAACCAAGGGATGAGGTACCTTTGTTATAAAGTATACTTCTCCATAAAAAGTGATTCTGATTAAGGGGCAAACCAAGACTAGAGTTTCTAAATTTATAATTTTAAATGCAAAGAATTACATAATTTCTCCAACTCCTAACCTACAGCTGAGGCTTAATTATCTCAAGGGAACAGCCTTTGGAACACATTATTAAGACAGTGACAGTGCTTTTAACAGAAATTTTTGTTAACACATTATAAAGTTATAAACAAATTACAATCAATCCTTTGTATCTACAAGTTCTGCATTTGCAGATTCAGCCAACCTCAGATTGAAAATATTCAGAAAAAGGAAAACTTTCATCTGTTCTGAATGCATACAATTTTTCCTTGTCATCATCCCCCAAACAGTACAGTTTAATAACTATTTACATAGCTTTTACATTACATTAGGTGTCATAAGTAATTAAGAAATGATTTAAAGTATATGGAGGATGTGCATGGGTAATAAGTGAATGTATGCTATATTTTTATATAAAGAACATGAGCATTTTCAGATTTTGGTATTCTTGGGGTCTTGGAATCAATCAATGGCACACAGATACCTAGGGATTAAGCTCTATTAAATATTCATTGCAGTTAAGAAGTAGAAATAATTTAACCCAATCTTTAAAGGATACAATGAGCAATTAGGCATTTATAAACTTTTATGTAGAGAGAATGATTATTCCATTTGAAAAAGGTAATAAACAAGCCAGCCAACATTTATAAGAGGTGTGCTTAGAAATAAAGCTATTTTGGGGTCCAAGTACAATTTAAACAATATAGTTAAGAAAACTTCTGAATCAAGTTTATTACTATCATACTACTTTTTTGGAAGAAAGCAAAATTTTCTAATCTCATATTTTAAACTGCACATTTATTTGAAAGTGTTTTAGTGTAACAGTGAAGTTATCATACAATAAAGTCAATTTTAAGTATGTAATAGAAAACATAGGACTCCTTTGAATACACTTAACACCAAACTTTAAATTATGGAAACACATGAAATAGAGGTATCATTTAATTTCATTGGCTATTCTAAAACTATTGCATATTATGTGTAGATGTGTGAGTTTAAATAAGAAATGTACAGTTAAAATTACCAATTGAAAATTTTCATTTTATTTTTTCAAACTTACTTTGCTATTGACCCTAGAGATCCTATACATAAATTATTTTTTAAAAGTCCATCTTTGGGCTGGGGATGTAGCTCAGTGGCAGAGTGTTTGTCTAGCACGTACTAGTTTCTTGGGTTCAATCTGTAGAATTTCAAATAACAACAAAAAACTTTAGATCCCATTAATCATGAAAGAATATTGTTTTCAAGGACTTATATACTCAAAACTAATTGACCTCAAAATAAAAGCTATGTTCTGTGTTATTTCATAACTAATTATTCACTGAAAACTGCTTTCCAAATAAGGTCCCGAAAACTTTGTAAGTCTATAATACCCTCTCCCCTTCACTTCTTTGGTCTATAATTTGCATAGGATATTTATCCCAAATTTACTTAAAGCAATTTCTGTCATTCCTTGTACATTTAAAAAAGTCGGTCTTTATTTCTAGATTTTAATCTTTTACTTATTAGCACTAGTACAAAATGGATTTTGATCTTATATATTTAACCATTTTGATCTTATATATTTAAATGGGTGCAAACAGGGCTGGGGTTGTGGCTCAGCTGTAGAGTACTCGCCTAGCATGTGCGGAGCACTGGCATTGATCCTCAGCACCACATAAAAATAAAATAAAGGTATTGTGTCCAACCACAACTAAAACAAAATATATTTTTTTAAATGGGTACAAACATAATGCCACTTCATTATACCTCTCAAGATTATGTGCGACTGTTTATCATTGAAATAACTATATTATTATAAATTATTATTCTATCTTATAATTATTAAATTGATTTTTTCTTCCATATTTTTATTGGTTTATTATAGTTGTAGTTAATGGTGGAATTTGTTGTTACATATTTGTATATGCTCATGATAAAACAACATAATTTGGCCAATATCATTCCCTAGTATTTTTCCTTTCACTTCTCTCCTCTCTCCCCTGGACTCAGTGTAATTTTCTTTCTTTCTTTCTTTTTTTAATTAGAGCCTTATAGATGGTAATGGTGTTCACAAACTCATAAATGCATGGAATCGATTTTGGTTCACAATCACCCCTTTTCCCTCTGGCCCTCACTCTCCTCCCCTATTCTCTTTCCTCTACTCTGCTAGATTTCTTTTCACTTGTCTATTTGTTCTTTTTACTTATACGTAAGGGTGAAATTTCCTGTGGTATATTTGTATGTGCACATAACATGATTTTTTAAGAATTCATCCTGGCCGGGCTTGGTGGTACAAGCCTGTAATTTCAGTGGCTTGGAAGGCTGAGGCAGGAGGATTGCAAGTTTAAGGCCCAGCTTCAGGAACTTAGCGAGGCCCTAAGCAACTCAGCAAGGCCCTGTCTCAAAATTTTAAAAAAAAGGAGGTGGGGTGGGGATGCCACCCTGCTAGGTTCAATCTCTAGTACCCACCCCCCCCAAAAAAGCATTCTGCATTGCCTCCCCACTCCCATCTCTCCATTCTGCCTCTTGATCACCAGACTCTTCTTCACTACTGATCTTTCCTGTATCTTTTTTTTTAATATCATCTCCTTCCCTCCTCCTTTCCTTTATTTCACTCTAGCTTCCACATAAGAGAGAGAACATTCAACCTTTGAATTTTTTTTAATATTTATTTTTTAGATGTAGATGGACACAACACAATGCCTTTATTTTTATGTGGTGCTGAGGATCGAACCCGGGTCCCGTCCGTGCTAGGCAAGCGCTCTACCACTAAGCCACAATCCTAGCCCCAACCTTTGAGTTTTTGAGTGTGGCTAGCAAATGCCTTAATTTCATTCTTCTTTATGGTTGTAGAATTCCTTTGTGTATATACCACAATTTCTTTACCCATTCATCTGTTGATGAGCACCCAGGTTGTTCCATGATTTAGCTATTGTGAACTGTGTTGCTATAAATACCGAGGTGGTTGTATTGCTATAGCATTCTGATTTTAGTTCTTTTGCCAAAATACCGAGGAGTGGAACAGCTATACTATGTTATACTTGGTTACATTCCTAGTTTTGTGAGGAGACTGCATAATGCTTTTCATAGTGGTTCTACTAGTCTGCAGTCCCACCAACAGTGTACCTTTTCCCACACAACCTAGCCAGTATTTATTATTGTCTGTATACTTAATCTTTGCCATTCTGACTGGAGTATAGTTTTGATCTGCATTTCTCTAATTGCTAACCATATTGAACATTTTTCAAATATCTGTTGGCCATATATATTTCTTCTTTTCAGAAGTGTTTGTCTACTTTATTTACCCATTTATTAACTGGGTTGTTTGATTTTTTTTTTTTTTGTATCAACCACTGAGCTACATCCCTAGCCCTCTTTATTTTTTGAGACAGGATCTTGCTAAGTTGCTCAGGACCTCTTTAAATTGCTGAGGTTGGCTCTGAACTTGCAGTTCTCCTGCCTCAGCTTCGTGTGCTGCTGAGATTATAGGCATGTGCCACCATGCTTATAATTTTTAGTGTGAATTTTTTTGAATTCTATATATTCTATATTAATTCTGTCTCAGAAGCGGAGTTAGCAAAGATATTCTTCCATTCTGTAGATCCCCCCCTTCACATTCTTAATTGTTTCCTTTGCTGTGCAGAAGTTTTTTTTTTTTATGCCATCCCATTTATTAACTCTAGGCATTATTTCCTGAGCTTTAAGAGTCCTACTGAGAAAGTTGTTGCCTATGCTTGTATATTGAAATGTTGACCCTATGATTTCTTCTAGGAATTGCACAGTTTCTGATCTAATTAGTAGGCCTTTGATCCATTTTGAGTTGTTTTTGTGCAGGGTCAAAAATAAGGAAAATGTTTCATTCTTCTACATAACCAGTTTTACCCATATCATTTGTTAAAAAGGCTTTTCTCCAAAGTATGTTTTTGGCACCTTTGTCAAGGATCAGATGATTGACTCCTACGGTCTGTTTTTATGTCTTATATTCTATACCACTGGTATATTTGTTTTTATGCCAGTTCCATGCAGTTGTTTCTATAGTGCTGTAGTATAATTTGAAGTCAGGTATTAGAGTTGCTGTGGCTATCCTGGATCTTTAACAAACGAATTTTAGAACTGTTTTTTCTAGTTCTACAAAGAATGTCATCCGTATTCTGATGGGGATCACACTGAACCTACATATTGCTGTTAGAAATATGGACATTTTAACAATATTAATTCTGCCTATCCATGAACATGGGAAGTTTTTCCACCTTCTGAGGTCTTCTTTGATTTCTTTCTTCAATGTTCTATAGTTTTCATTGTACAGGTTCTCCACATCCTTAGAGTTATTCCTAAGTATTTTATTTTTTTTTGAGGTTGTTGTGAATGGATTGTTTTCCTGATTTCTTTCTCAGCAAATTCATAATTGGTGCATAGGAAAGCTACTGATTTTTGTATGCTGACTTTGTTAATATGCTACTTTGCTGAATTTGTTTATTAGCTTTAGCATTCTTTTGGTGTAGCTTTCTGGATCTACTCTAAGATCATGCCATCTGTAAACAATGGTAATTTGACTTCTTCCTTTCCTATTTTTATCCCTTGTATTTCTTGTCTTGCCTAATTTCTCTGGCTAGAATTATTTCTAGTACTACACTGAATAAGTATGATGAGAATGGCTTGTCTTAGTTCTAGATTTTAAAGGAAATGTTTTCAGTT